AGGCATGGCATGTAGTAGGCATGCTGTCAATTAGGAGGCATTATTAATTGATGCCCAATAATTGTCTTTTGGAAGAAGAAAAGCGCTATCTATCTGTAGGAAGGCTTCCCTCAAAGGATCTTCCAGTCCTATGTGACGCTGAAGGCGCAGAATGCTGTGCGCCCATGAAAGGCAGTTAGGAACAGTTAAGGCAAGTCTCCTGCCTTCCAGTTTAGGGCTCTTTTATTAGGATCCTAGAATCACAATTTATTACAATCCTCCAACATATCTAATCCATCACCCTACACTTCCCTCCCCCATCCCTGGGACTATCTTATAATCCAATCTGCTCTGTCACGTCCCAATCAGGAAGTCACCAAGACGTCACCTGCACACAACTACACACAGGAACATTGCTGTATGAGAGACTGGACTTGGGGCAAGTCAGGCCTGGCTCAAATCCAGCCCTGCCATTTCTACGCTGTGCAACCCTAGGTGACAAAACCAATGTCTCTGAAAAGCAGTTTCCTCATATGCAAAAGGAGAAGGTTGTCATAATAACCCTCCCTCTGAAGGGAGCTGACACAGAATAACTACAACAGTTGCAGCTGACATCTGAGTGCTCACGATGTGCCAGACTTGTACTATTCTCCTCCCCACAGCTTTGCAGGCAGGTGCTATAATTATCTCCATTTTACACATGAGCACATGGAGGCAGGAAGTGGTTATGTAACTTCACAGCTGCTGGGTGGCAAAGCCAGACCGGAACCCAGGCAGATGGCTAAAGTCGTGTGTGCTGTTCCACTATGCCATTAGAGAAAGGCAGTGCAGGGCAGTGCCCATAGCTCAGTGGGTAGGGCGCCGGCCACATATACCAAGGCTGGCAGGTTTGAACCTGGCCAGGGCCAGCTAAAACAACGACAACTGCAATAATAAAAAAAAAAAAAAATAGCCGGGCGTTGTGGTGGGTGCCTGTAGTCCCAACTACTTGGGAGGCTGAGGCAAGAGAATTACTTAAGCCCAGGAGTTTGAGGTTGCTGTGAGCTGTGACACCATATCACTTTACCCAGGGCGACAGCTTGAGACTGTCAAAAAAAAAAAAAAAAGCAGTGCAGAGGACAGGGCCTTCCCCAGGGTAAGGCCAGGTGGCCCCCTGATGACTCCTATCTGTTCCCAGCCCTGGTCCCGTGCAGTGTGGTGTTGCTCAGACACAAGAAAACTCCAGTCTTGCTTCTCAGCCTCCTGCCAGACTTGGTCACTCTCCTCCAGCCACATCAGCCATGGGACTGATGCCTTCTGTGCCATGGACAGTCTGGCTCCTTCTACCTCTAGGCCTTTATACCTGTCCTTTCCCCCTACCTGGGCCACTCTTCCTTCAAACCCTCCCATGGTTGATTTGACACCCTCCATCATCCTGGTCTCTGTTCAGATATTAACTAACTCTTCAGACCAAACAAAGTAGCCTCCTTCACAACCTACTAAGTGCCACTCTCTATCCCCTGACCCAGGTTTATTTTTCTTCATTATCCCACCTGTTATCACACAATTTTTGTTTGTTTATATCTGTCATTTTTTTTTAAAGACAAGATCTCACTCTGTCACTCAGACTGGAATGCAGTGGTGCAATCATAGCTCATTGTACCTTGAACTCCTGGCTCAAGTGATCCTCCTGCCTCAGTCTCCCCAGTAACTGGAACTACAGGTGTACACAACTGTGTCCAGCTTTGTTGTTTATATTTGTATAGCATCTATCTCCCCCCACTAGACTTTTTCTTTTTGAGATGAGAGTCTCATTCTGTTGCCCCAGGCTAGAGTGCCATGGGGTCAGCCTAGCTCACAGAAACCTCAAACTCTTAGGCTCAAGCAATCCTCCCACCTCAGCCTCCCAAGTACCTGGGACTAAGGCTGGGCACAGTGGTTCACACCTATAATCCTAGTACTCTGGGAGGCTGAGGCTGGTGGATTGCTTGACTTAGAGGAGTTCAAGACCAGCCTGAGCAAGAATGAGACCCCATCTCTACTAAAAATAGAAAAACTGAGGCAGGAGGATCGCTTGAGCCCAAGAGTTAAAGGTTGCTATGAGCTATGACACCACAACACTCTATCCAGGGTGACAGCTTAAGATTGTCTCAAAAACAAATAATAAAAAAAAAACAAAAAAAAAAAACAAATAATAGAGTAGTGCCTCAGTGAGTAGGGCGCTGGCCCCATATACCAAGGGTGGCGGGTTCAAACCTGGCCCCAGCCAAACTGCAACAAAAAATAGCTGGGTGTTGTGGTGGATGCCTGTAGTCCCAGCTGCTCGGGAGGCTGAGGCAGGAGAATCGCCTGAGCCCAGAAGTTGGAGGTTGCTGTGAGCTGTGACTCTACAGCACTCTACCAAGGGCAATAAAGTAAGACTCTGTCTCTAAAAAACAAAACAAAACAGAAAAACCAAAAAACAACCACCACCAACAAAAAAAATGTAGCTGGGACTACAGGTGTCTACCACCATGTCTAGCTAATTTTTCTACTTTTAGTTGAGATGAGGTCTTGCTCTTGCTCAGGCTGGTCTCAAACTCCTTAGCTCAAGCAATCCTCCCATCAAGGCCTCCTAGAGTGCTGGGATTATAGGCGTGAGCCACTACACCTAGTATGCTCTGTGATTCTAGAGCAAATGGATTCATTCCACCCTTTCTGCCTATTTCCTAACTTATAACAACTTCAATCTGATAAGGAATTGTATTCCTCACATGAGGAATACATACATACAAAGCCCCCAGAATAGTGCCTCGCACAAAGCACACTGTAAATGTCAGCTGCTAATACGCTCACCACAGTAAGTCTTCAATACATTCCTGACGGGATAGACAGGTGGATGAACAGGAAGGTGGCGTTTTCTAATGGAACAAGCAGCACCTGATTGTAAGTCTGGCTCTGTCCTCCCTCACTAAGGGGATGGGGGAGTCACTTCTCTGTTCCCTGCCTCAGTGTCCCACAAGTCATAAAATGGTCATTGAGGCTAACGTTTCTGGATTCTCACTGTATACTAGGTGCTTGGTATGCTTGTTTCCTATTGCTATTATAACAAAGTACCACAAACTTCATGGCTAAAAACAACACAAATTTATTATCTTACAGATCTGGAGGTCAGAAGTCTCAAATTTCATCTTATAAGGCTAAAATGCAAGTGTGGGCAGGGCTATGCTCCTTCTGAATGCTCTAGAGGGGAATCTGTTTCCTTGTCTCTTCAGCTTTTACAAGCTGCCGGTGACCTTGACTCGAAGCCTCTTCCCCATCGCCAAAGCTGGCAACAGCATCACTCAGACCTCTGCTCCTATCTTCATGACTGTCTCTGACTCTGGCTCTCTTGCCTCCCTCTTTCCCTTACAAGGATTCTCATGATTACCTAAGACCCCCTGGATAATCCAGGATACTCTCTCCACCTCAGGATACTTAACTTAAACCTGCAAAGTTTCTTCTGTCATTAAAGTAAGATAGATATTCACAGGTTCTGGAGACTAGGACCTAGACATCTTTTGGGGGCCACTGCTACATTTACCACAGTTAAGCATCACCAGGCTAGGCATCACTGAATCCTCAGAACTACTTAAGTAGAAGGGTCTGTTACCAGTCCAGTTTTACAGACAGGGAAACTGAGGCTCAGGCAGGTTAAATCAACAACTTACACATTGCACAAGGTATTAACTAGAGGGGCAGTGTGGATTCATATGCCTGACTGCAAAGCCCTCTCTAATACCAACTTTTTTTTTTTGAGACAGTCTTACTTTTTCGCCCTCGGTAGAGTGCACTGGAGTCATAGCTCACAGCAACCTCAAACTGTTGGGCTCAAGTGATTCTCTTGCCTCAGTCTCTCGAGCAGCTGGCTA